CGAAACCCTTCAGCTATGATACCAACTTGTTAGGCAGTGCCGACAATATAATTATGAGAATAATTACGGCAGCAGAAAAAATAATTAAATGACACACAGAAATTTCGTGGTTCAACACCTCAAACTGGTTTAGGGTTACGTCCACGGGATCAACTCTGAATATTTCTTCCTATTAAAATATCAGCTTACAAAGGAAATACCAAAATAGTGGCACTCAAGTGTTTTCCAAAACACCCATAATCTTCACTATTTTCTACTCACAACCCCTCTCAGTGTTTTCCAAAAACACCCCAATAATCTTCACTATTTTTCTAAACCCTTAGTTTTAAGAACCCTTTCTTAAAACTGAATAACTCTCAAATCTCTCTTAACAGATTAATTTCTATCTGTGGTTGTGTGTAGAAATGAACTAAAACATCTCCTATTTATAGAAGAAGTGGACGTGTTAATCATGCATTTCACCGAAAAATAAATTGTAGCACCGAAAAGAAAATTCTTCTATCTCCAATTTTCTTCTTCCTTTTTCAACTGTGTGGGTCCCACTTGAGTGGGCACCGCCACAATACTGGTTTCGTGCTAATGGAGAATGAAACTCATAAATAACGAAAATACTCATCAACGCATAGGAAGAATGCGTTGATGAAGACGACACCGATCTTTCAAAACTTCTCAGCTGCTTAAAGAATTTTTAAAGGTTTTTTAGTTATTTCCAGTTTTCCCTTTTAAGCTATTTACTCTCATGGCTCTCTCTTCTGCTTCTAGGTGTTGTTCTTCTTGTGTTATTCATCAAATTCTTGACTATTGAAAATGAAAATTGCTAAATGAATAGCTTTGAGTTTAAGATTCTGGCGTTTTCATGCTTTAGCTGCTGTTGTTCAGGAGTAGTAACGATGGTTCCAAGAGCGCGAGTCTCTCCTTACAGAAATTCAATGGCTAAAGCTCCAAATTTAAGCCCTAGAGAAACGAATTTTTGATATAAGAAGTAGATTTGGTGTCGGACGATGTCAAATGTTAGCGCTTTGTTACAGGTTTTTATCATTTTTAATCCATGTGGTTTGAAAACTTTTTTCTGGTCATATAAAATTTTGTCCTTCTTGTTTGTTCCCGATAGGAAGGAGAACGATAGGAAGCTGAGATAGACGGGATTTATGGTCTGTTAACAGTGTTTTTAACACATGTGAAGTCAAAGGAATCCTATTAGCGCCTAATAAGCAAAAAAATATATATGAATAAGTGGGACTCAGTCGTCCCACAAGGATTTCCATCTGTCAACGTGTGCAAAATATACTTAATTGTTAAAAATTTAAGAGTTTATTAACCAAATTGTTAACTTTTTCTGTTCATACACCCAAATTGCAATTTTTTGTTTTTTTTAAGCTTCGTATGGAATCATACATTTTATATTTATGCACATGAAAAAAAAAAAAAAAAAAAAAATGAAAAAAAAAAAAAAAAAAAAAAGCTATGTTTGAAACCTAGCTACCAACAGTGATTTATATTTATGCGCGATGAATAACAAAAAAAAAAAAAAAAAAAAAAAAAAAAAAAAAAAAAAAAAAAAAAAAAAAAAAAAAAAAAAAAAAAAAAGCTATGTTTGAAACCTAGCTACCAACAGTGCTTATCAACGAAAATTCATTTCATATAAATTTTTTGGTAAATTTATTGTTAATTGTAATTACTGGTAAAATTATTGAGTATTGTAATTGGTATAGTTTATGAATTTAATCTATGTCCATATTTTTTAAATCTCGTTCACAGTATAAATTTAAGATTTAGCTTTTTTTTTAAAAAGGAAATTAAAGATTTAGTTTTACTATACTGTATTATTATTTGTATCTTTCATATTTGTTTTAATTTCTATTTTTATGAAACAAAGTGGCTTGAAACAAATAAAAATTAGATATTGTATTGAATATATCCCGATATTTAACATATTTATGGTTATTTTTTCTAATTTTACATCTAAAACTCAAATTCAAATTTATAATTTATTTCAAATTTAAATTCACAATCTATTAAAATAGAATAACTAAGAAATAAGAGTGTACAAAAATATATTTTAATGTTTTAAACACTTTAAATTTTTATATCTCAAATAATTTGATTTTTAAACTCTCAAAGCAATAAATTATTATTATTATTATTATTATTATTATCAAAACTTCGTTTAATATATTTTTTATTCATAAATCAAAAACTTTTAAAAATAATAGCATATTTCAATAATAATATCTATTTAAAAAATATATAAACATCCCGTCATGAAGCGCAGAAAAACGACTGGTTATTTAATTTGAATAAGACTTTCAGCATATTTTACTTTTTTTTGGACAGTTTTTATGAAAAATTTTGCTAAAAACATCTATTATATTTAAAATTACTAAAAAAGTCTAGTTATAACAAATATAAATGAATCATTTGCCAATAAAATATTGATTGAGATTGTAAAGGACCTCAATCCCATGAGAGTAAGAATATAAATTTAATGCCTAAGAAAGGATCGCAAAAACTCTTCATGCTATACGGAAATTACACCTTCTAGTTATATATATATATATAAGCATAGTAGTTTAGATTACATAAAAGCCAGGTGTAAGTATCTGAAAATGTCAAGTATGAGGAGGACAACAATTATTTAACACGGTTCTAAAAAGATAGGGTGTAATGACATCAATTGCAAGAATACAAGTTGTTTTATATTTTTAAATAATGTATTTATCATGATAATATCTATAAGATACATCCCATCAAGATAATACATTGAATTAAATTAAAATTTAATTAAAATATAAATAACTCAAGTCATAAAATAAGAAAAACTTAATTTCTTATTAATGATTACCTTGGTGTATGGGGTAGTCTTACATACTAGCAGCTAGGTTACACGGACACCGGACATGATATACAGAACGTACGAGATATATGATAATAAATAAACAATCATTTATAATAAATAAAAAATGTAAAATAAAAATTCTTAATTTTTATTTTAATATAATTAGTTTAATAAATAAAAAATGTAAAATAAAAATTCTTAATTTTTATTTTAATATAATTAGTTTAAATTAAAATTAAGTTAAAATACATATAACCCAAACTATAAAATAGAAAATATATAATTTTTTATTTTAATAATTACCTTGACGTATGGGTAGTCTTATATACCGGAAGCCAGGTTGTACATACATGAGACATGAGATACGAGAACATACGAAATATGATAATAAATAAATAATAAGTATAAAATAAAAAAATACTTAATTTCTTAGTTCAATATAATTTAGTAAATTCTCAAAATTATTATCATTATTTTGAAAAATCAATATATATCTATATAATATATAAAAGTAAGGTAGTTTGTTTTATATGAAAGCCAGTGTAAGTAGCACAGTTTGCTACTTTGCATTATTTTGAATTATAGAATGACAGATGTTAGAATTCACACAATTTAGTATAATTGTAAGAATTGTAAAAAGATCAGTTGTCATATATTTTTAGATAACCCCTCTATCAAGATAATATGTATAAAAAAAATTATCTCTAGCATTTAATATATTAATATAAATTTATTTCTTCTTACAAAATAATTAATAATCCACACATTAAAAAAGAGTGAATAAATAATATATTACTATTAAATAAACAATATATAAAGTAATTTTAAAAATACAAATTGGAACATACAAGATACGACAATTTTAAAAAAAGTAGGGTATCCACACGCTTAGGACACACTACACTAAATAAGTAAAACATTAATATTTCAAATAAATAAATGACAATTTATAATAAATTATAAACATAAAATAAAAAAAAACTTAATTTCTTATTTCAATGACGCAAAAAATATTTAAAAATACTTCACTTTTTATTGGTAATAAAAAAACTTTGGTTCATTAACTTGGTGTATAGAGTAGTCTCATATATCAGGAGCTAAGTTGCACGGAAACGGGACACGAGATACGGAATGTACGAGATACGATAATTTTTAAAAAATATATCGCATTCACTCACTTAAAATACACTACACTAAATAAGTAATACATTAATATTTCAAATAAATAAACAATCATTTATAATAAACATAAAATAAAAAGTACTAAATTTCCTATTTCAATGACACAAAAGCAAATAAAAAAAGTACTAAATTTCCTATTTCAATGACACAAAAGCAAATAAAAAAAACTTTATTTTTATTGGTAATAAAAAAATCTTAGTTGATTAGCTTAGTGTATGGAGTAGTCTCATATGCCAGGAGCTAGGTTGCATAAACACAGGACATCCATACTTAGGATACAGTACACGAAATAATTAATACATTAATATTTCAAATAAATAAATAATTATTTATAATAAATTATAAACACAAAAAAAAAAATTTAATTTCTCATTTCAATGACATAAAAACAAATTTATTTATAATATTATACGAGTTTTATATAGGTCAACACGATCCACTTAATATGTTTATGATATTAAGCGAGTTAAATATGTTGTGTTCAACTGTCTAATTTTCGTGTTACGTCTATATCGAAGTTATAAAAAATTATTTTATTTTTTAATATTACTCTGGGCATTGCGCAGGTTCTAACATTAGTGTGTATATATATATTATATATATTATATAATATATATATATATATAATGTTGTGTGTGTCTGTGTGAGATCTTTATTATTTTCTGTCGTCTAACTGTATTTCAAAGTTGTCACCCGAGTTGGTAACTGAATTCGTGATTACCCACATTTACAACCTGCTAACGGTTGAAGCAAACATCCCTGTATATCTTATATATATATATGTTGTGTGTGTCTGTGTGAGATCTTTATTATTTTGTCGTCTAACTGTAATTTCAAGTTTCACCCGAGTGGTAACTGATTCGTGATTACCATTTACACCTGCTAACGTTGAACAAACATCCCTGTATATCTTGAAAACAGTTCATTACAACCTCCGTAAGTCCAATTTTATACAGACCAGCCCATTACGTAAAACCGCGGAAAAATTTTTATTTTTTATTTTCTAGTTTTTCCGGTAAAGAAAAAGAAGACGGCCCTATTTCTCATGGCAGCAGCTTTTCAATTCAAACACAAACTCCAATACAGCGTGAACAAGGAAGAATCTGTTAAACCTAATAATAGTAATAGTAATAATAATAATAATAACAAATCATCAAATTGAAATTTTGAAATTTGAAATTGAAATCCACTGACATTAATCGATGGGGAAGAGGAAAGAGCGCCGTCGCCTCGCAGCTCTTAGCAACGCTGGCCGTCGCGTCAAGCTCGATCTCTTCGCGGAACCCTCTGGTATGGTACCTTCGGTCCTTTTTTTTTATTTTTTATTTTTATTTTGTCTTTGTATGTTATATTACTTGCTAGGGTTTTGTTATTGGAATCCTGGTAATCATTTTACTTTCTTAAGCTTCTCCGTCTTCCATTATGGTGATTTATAGTGATGTGTAAATGATTTATAGTGATTTATGGTGATTTTTCTTAAGCTTCGCTCGTCAATAAAAGTTTAGGGTTTTGTTTATTCTATTCTGTGTTGAAGAAGCACCGCCGTTGGATTATTGTTGAATTGGCTGTGATTGTTTGCTAGTGTAGCTGGAATTCCTTGCTCATGGGTGAAATACTAAGAATTCTGAAATTGGAGTCTTACAAGTGAATATTTAAGATTTTAATTTAGTTGGCTATATTTCCTTTTTGTTTGAATTCTATTATTAAGTTTTTGACTGAGGACTGGAGGTGGATTAATTACGTTTTTTGGGTAAAAAGTAATTTGTATTGAGAGTGATATCAGTCACTGAATTAGCTTATGATTTATGTGCTGGAAGTTTACGTGTTATAGTTAGTAATGGCCAATGGTTTCATAAATGCCTATCGATTATTGTCAATGACTTCCTCATGATATGTTAATTTGGTAGCTTTTCATTTGACAAAGTATGTGGTAGTGTCATGACATGCTACTTGATAACTGTATGAGCATTTTGTTATACTTTCTAGGAGATTTGGGTGGCTCCTCTGTGAATGGCGACGTTGGAGGGGACATGTATCCGACAAATCGTGCTGGATTACCCACTTCACCATCATCTTCAGGTGGGTTCCGTCAGTTCTCTTCAAAAGGATTATGTAGAGAGGGCATGAGTTTTGGTGGCATGTTATGTTGTTTGCCTCCAAGTATTTGTTTTCAGATTTTAGATTGGCTGTGGTCATGGGAATATACAGATCAGACCAGGTCGGGCCCTGCCACAGTGAATTTTTGAATGACTTCCGCTCTCTAATCCGCTATTTGACAACATCAAAGCATTCTGGAGATTTCATCTGGAATATTTTTCTATCGGTTCGTATGTTTCTGGCTTTATTTGCTTTATGCCTTCACTGACATTTTCTTTGATTTGTGACAGGTGAATCTGTTCAATGATTCCTAATTTCTCCTTGGGATTTATTGTCAAATTATTGAAAATTGTCCTCCTCTTTATATTTTTTTCTGGCAGAAACTACATTATTATTCTTGAATATTCCATTGCATCTGTTTGCTTAGTTTCATATATATAGTTACTGCTAAGAGAATAACATTATAGTTCTTTAGTATCTGACATTCTAACATATTGTCTTCAGGTGAACCGCAGAATCCTCTTATGTTACTTGGGCAATATAGTGATGATGAGTTGGATGAGGAATCAAATGGAAGGTCAGACCATGTTGTTGCAGAAAATCCCCCTTCAGACCCTATTGATCAGGTAATTCGGCGATGTAAATGTGAAGACGCAGAGAAAAATATCTATGGTTGTAAATGTGAAGTTTGGGATTACTTTAAGCCATTTGAACCAACAGCAAGCATGTTTACAATGCTCAGCCAGTAGATGTATTTCATGGCCATGCTTTTTATCTCTGTAAATGGTCATGATTAGGGCTTAACAGCTCAGATCTCTGCTGCTTACATATTTATTAGTACATGCACATGCGCTTATGAATATTAACTGGTGTCAAGTTCTTGAGCGGAAGTGGAAATTGTTGCTATTACTGCGGGATCACACTGTTGGCTATAAGACCTGGTGAATGATCATCTCTGATTTCGCTGTTATGCCTCTATCAGTACCATGTGAAGTTCAGTAATCATGTTAACGACTAGCTGTTACCCATTACATGATAATTAACCTATTAAAGTTTCTGGCATTGCCATCAATGCAGCAGTGTTTTGTGTTCTAATTCATCCTTTAGAACAGAATCTGATTGCTATCACATCTGTGAAGTTGTCAGTGTCTGTTTCTTTACTTTTAGTCTGATATTGATTTTGTCCAGTTACAATGTTCAAGCAATTGACCACACCCTTGATCCTTTTTTTCTTCTTATCTTTCCTTTAAACTCTTATATGTTCATTGTTTGTGTGTTCCATGTGCCTGCAATGCTAAAAAATGCTTCACTTTTGCTAGGAGGAACCACCAAATGAAATAAAAGAGGTAGATGCCAATACAGTTGGAGATGCTGCTCCCAAGACTGAACAACAGGGAATGGAGAGAGATTCTACTCCAGTTAGTGTTTCTCAGAGTGTGGTAGGCAGTGAATCTGAAGAAAGTGATGCTGCTGCATCTGCTGATAAATACAAAGAAATTGATTCTACAAAGAAAATTTCTGTTGCTGAAACTCCTGATACACAAGTAATTGGAGATGTGAGTTTAGGATGGAGGATAGTTATGCATGAGGAGAGTAATCAATATTATTACTGGAATACTGAAACTGGGGAAACTTCATGGGAAGTACCTGATGTTTTGGCTCAGACAACTCTACCAATCTCTGACCAGAGAGTTAATTTCACAGAAAGTGCAGAAAATACTGTTGTGAATAATAATGAATCATTAGGCGTCGAATTGGATAATTCTTCTGCCACACTTACTATAGCTGGCGCAACTGGTGTCAATTTGATGCATCAAAGCCAAGAAGTGCACGGAAATGGGCCCCCAACTGATGAAGGGATTGAAGGATGTAAAAATGAATCCTTGGAAGACAAAAATTCAGTTGATGTCCACCAAAATGAATCACAGAGTAACCATAGTGTAGTTGGTGAGGTAAGCGACAATGAAGTTGAGAAAGGGAAGGATCTTTCAACTAATCTCATAAGACAATGCGAATGTTTGATGGAGAGACTTAAGTCATTGAAAGGGTAGAAAACTTATGCTTTGCCTCTGTTTTTCATCTGTTGTTTTGCTTTTAGATTTTATATGATGTTATAAAAACCTTATTAATTATTTTTATTTAACAGTTCTTTCACTTGCTAATCTAAAAATATGTGCAGATATGGGAGTCGCCTGCAATGTCATGAACGGATGTCCAAGTATATTTTAGAAGTAGATATCAGACTTTCCGATATTAAGTCACTTGTTTCTCATGGTTCATCTTTGCTTCCATTTTGGATCCATTCTCAGAAGCAGCTTAAACAATTAGAAGATGTCATTAACAATGAAATTTACCACCTTGCTGTGTCTGCGCAAACGGAGGATGATGATGATGATGTTGGGAAAACCACTGGTACTTCTTGCAAAGAGAAGGAAATATCTCAGGGAGGTGTGGGACAGGATTCTGACACAGATGTACATGAGAACAGCCAGAAATCTGAATTTACAGAAGTTGCTACAAATATTGAGAATGATTCACGCAATGATCCTCATAAAATTATATACACCGAACATATCCCTTATGAACATTTGGAAAGTGTTGCTTTGGGTAGTGAAAAAGAGAATGGAATAATTGCACTTGCAGAGCCTGTGTTCCACCCTGGGGAAGATGTTGACATGGATGTTGACATGGAAGTTGAAGATGGAGTTCCATCAAGTATCACAGTTTCAAGAGATGCTTCAATCATCGAGGCTGTTGCTCCAGCCAAGCAATTGAGTCGGCCAAATACACCTGCAGTGTACCCTACTGTGGCACTTGGAGAGGAGTCAACTGTTCCACTTCCCCCAGAAGAGGACTGGATTCCACCGCCACCTCCTGATAGTTATCAAGTTCCTCCACCCCCTCCTGACAATGATCTAGTTCCTCCACCTCCACCCGATGCTCCTCCTGAGTCATTAAATCCTCCACTTCCACCTTATTCTGAGACAAGTCAACCTCTGCCTTACCCACAACAGTACTTGTCCTATCCAGATTCTAATTTCCAGTATCATGGACACGATGTTACTATCCCAAGCACTAATTTTTATGGACATGTGGATGGAAGTCAAGTTGGTCTGCCCCATGCATCACTTTATTATGAAGCAGTTACCAACACTTATGCTGAAACTGCACCAATCATAGTGAGCTCTGTTGAGCAAGTAGCATATTATAATCTTCAAGATGGGTCAATGCCTTCTATGCCTGTCGTCAGTGGTGTAGAATCTTCTGCTTTACAAACTGCTGGTCCTGTAAATTATGATACTTTTGCTTCTGATCAAGTTGGAAGTGTTAACGATGCTGCAGGGACAGTGTCAAATTTGAAATTTGATGTTTCAGCAGTTACTGGTGAGACAGTCACGAGATCGGTTGGGTTGGCTTCTACTTCAGTCATCACTGAAACCCCTGAAACATTTGATGGGAAAGATAACATTTCAGCACCTTCAACCAATATTGCTACAGCAGCTGTACCTGCCACAACAACAGTTGCTAAGGGTCAAGCTAAAGGTAATTTATTCTGTATCTTTTGTAATGTTCTAGATCACTCAACTTATTGATATTTCACATTAACTCCACTTTGTCTTTATTGTTCCTCACATGATAAACACTAATTTTTATTTTACAATTTCTTAGAGTGTTCTATTGACGTGATTTATTTGATATTCTAGAAACATTATCGAATAAGGAAAATCCAGTGAAACAGAATATCAATAAGAAAAACTTTATTGAGAAAGAAAGAAATGGGAGTAGACCGGAGGATATGGAACCTTCCTCTTGCATAACTCAAAAAACAAATAAAAACAAGAACATAAACACATGCTGAAAAGTAATGCCCTGCAACCCAGTTGGATATATTCAAAGAGACCCCTCTAAAGTCTAGAACATGAATGTTAACTTGACAGGTCTGTTGTTATTGCAAACTATTACTAGCTTATTAATGTGCTGTTGCTCATTTAATTTCTGTTTTTTGCTCAGTTACACGAAGTAAAAAGCGGGCAGTTGCTGTTGCACCTTCACTGAGGTCTAATAAGAAAGTTTCAAGTTTGGTGGACAAGGTATGTTTTTAACCCCTTTTTTCTTGCTTTGCTTTGAGCACTTGTCTTCTCTAGTGTTCACATGAATATGTGTACAATTAATTAAATCCCTTTTGTATTACTTTTAGTGGAAAGCGGCCAAAGAAGAGTTGAATGAGAACGAGGAAGATGAACCTGAAAATGCTTATGAAATATTAGAGAGAAAACGACAAAGGGAAATTGAGGTTTGCAATTCTTTGCATATAATTCATAAGTTTTTACTGCTTTCAGTGCCTTCTTTACCTGACATTCCTTTTATTGCAGGAATGGCATGCTAAACAAATTGCCAGTGGAGAGGCCAAGGATAATGCCAATTTTCAGCCCTTAGGCGGTGATTGGTATGTTTTCCTAATATTTTCAGCCTTTAGTTCATAAATTTATCTTGGAATTCATATTCAATCCACATTTTCATGCTTGTTGTAAACGAAAATTCAGTTTCAATTCTACATTTTTAATTGTACAGAATTGGTTGTGCCTGAAGTAAATTCTACCAAAATGAATATAATTTGCAAATAAACTGTAAACTTAACATGGTACAAGCATCTAAAATTAAGTCTACATATAAGGGGTAGTAAAGCTATAGTTAATTCAAATATGGAAGTTCATCTACAAATTAATTCTTTTTAATGAAATTCATTTGCAAATGGATTTATTCCAAACACTATGAAATTCTTCCTGTTTGCATTTTTCAAGAGAGAGAGAGAGAGAGCAAGAGATTTACAGTTCCATCTCCTTGCCTCGTCTACATTTCATTTTATATTGCTTTTATGTGCACTTTTTCTCTCACACATTTATGTATAATTGCTTGTATTCAAATGTAAGTTTGTTTCTTATTCCTGATTTTCTAACATTTTTCCCTTACAGGCGTGAGCGAGTTAAACGCAGAAGAGCTCAAGCAGCCAAGGAAGCTGCACGCACACCATCCCCTGTTGAGGAAAACAAGCAACCTGATTTAGCAGAGCTTTCAAAGGGACTTCCATCTGGTTGGCAGGTATATTTTGGCATTTTGTTTCATGCGGAACATCACTAGGTTATGTGTGTAACTAACTTGTTTGCAACAAATCAGGAATATGTGCTGTGAACTTTTATATTTATTATCCTCTGAGGCCTGAGAAAGGACACATGCAAAAATGCATAGGTTCACTTGATTTTCTCTCCTTCCTAGTGTTTTAATTGGTTGGGATCATTAATAGCCGATGTCTTTTAATTTGCATTATGGTAGTGGATGCAAGGATGGACCACACACCATTTCCCTATTTAAGCTTTATATAAGCATGACCTAAATGTAAGTTGAGAATGGCAGCTCAAATTGTCGAGCAAACATTTGAGCGAGTTTATTGTAGTGTTGGCTGCTTTAAAACCCTAATCTATTATGATGGCTAATGTTTCAATTTCAAAGTTTGCAGTTTCTATGGCTTCTTTGATTTTCCAAATTTATTTATTTTGATATGTAGGCTTATTGGGATGAAGCATCAAAGCAGGTCTACTATGGAAATGCTATTACGTCAGAGACAACGTGGAGCAAGCCAACAAAATGAACCATCATTTAATTTAGATAGAAGCAATCACATGAAAGGGCTCCTTGCCCTGGTGCAATGACACGGTGTCTCCTTTGTGACCTGAACGTCATGGGTTTCAATTGCAGAAGCAGCCTTTCTGGAAAAATGGTTGGAAAATTCAAATGCAGAACGGAAAGCTGTGTCAAAAGAGGATCCTGGCCGCACCCTCAAGAAAGCCGAGCATCATGCATCCACAAAATCCCTTTTCTAGTCTCATTTGTAAATGATTTACGTTTTTGGTGTAATAATGAAAGGTTTTCTGGAAATATTTGAATCTTTCAGGAAAGATTTACATATTGGGTGCAAGGTCGCCTATTTTTGTTTTCTTTGTTTGGTTTTAAAGAAATGTTTACTTGATAGATCTCTATTATAATCAGAGTTTATCAATATGAAACTACGATATTTATACTCGAACAATTCCCGTAGGAATTGTGTTTTGACGACTTTGCCCATACAATGATTATCCCGGACCCTGGTTATTCCAATGTTTCTCCTTTCCACTTTCAGTGTTATCAAAAATTACTCGCTTGCACCACGTCAAGGTGAAAGTTCTATTTTAACTGTTGGAAGGTCACCCCCCCTTTTTTTAGCATCAAAATAAGAAAAATTAATTAAATAATTTCAAATAAATTAAAAATATGTTCCTTTTCAAAAAAAAAAAAAAAAAAAAAAGTTCCTTGTTCAGAAAAAAAAAAAAAAAAAAAAAAAAGTAAAAATAAGTGCAAATAAATGCCTCTGAATTTAAACTGCTGATTCATATTTACTCATTTTATCAATCAAACACATATGTTTGCAAATTACAAAAATCATTCCAGTTTCTTTTGATTTTAACTCGCACAACCTTTTTAATTGAAATTTATGAATATCAGCTTTTATATTTTTGACCTTTTGAAAGAAGAGTGGTTGATATTAAATTTTTCATTTTTAAATTATACATAAAGGATTCAAGTGTAATCTTTTCCGTAATCTGTTTAGAACTATTCATTTTTTGAGTATACTTAGAGGACAAAATCCAAAGCAAGATCCCCACTGGGAAGTTAATGCTTGTTGGAAGAAGGCAGGCAAGAAAATTAAACAAGTTTTGGTTACAGCCTTGAAGTAGCAGGCTTATGCACCAGCCACCAGCTAAGCAACTCAAAGTCGTTTGAACCCTTACTAGATAAATGAAAAAAGAGCTATAATGTTTTCCATCCAAGGCAGTTCCACCAAAACTATCCAAAATACCCAACCACTAAAACAGTACCGCAATTATAACATATTATAATAATAAAGTTAAAAAAAACAAAAAACAAAAACAAAAAATAAAAGAGGAACCACCGAAGATAATGTTAAAAAGTTCTTATCAGATAACTTGCTTAATCAACTTCCTCCATCTTGGATCCTTCAGCATCAACATCAGCATCCTCAAGTGCAGGCATGTCAGCATCTCCTTCACCAGCATCCTCATCAATGCTCAGTCCAAGTTTCAACATCCTATGGATTCTGTTGCCGAAAGTGTTGGGATCATCAAGGCTGAACCCTGAGGTAAGAAGAGCAGTCTCAAATAGCAGCAGGACAAGATCCTTCACTGACTTATCGTTCTTGTCAGCATCAGCTCTCTTCCTTAACTCCTCCATGATAGGATTCTCAGGGTTGATCTCCATTGTCTTCTTGCTTGACATGTATCCAGCCATGCTATTATCCCTCAAAGCTTGAGCTCTCATAATTCTTTCCATGTTAGCAGTCCACCCATATTCCCCTGTGACCAAACAGCAAGGAGAATCAACCACGCGGTCTGAAACTACAACCTTCTCTACCCTGTCTCCCAGTACATCCTTGATAACCTTGCAAAGACCCTCAAATTTCTCTTTCTGTTCTTCCTTCCTTTTCTTTTCATCTTCACTCTCATCAATTTTCAAACCCTCCTTGGTTGCAGAGACAAGCTTCTTCCCCTCAAACTCCTTGAGCTGACCAACTGCATACTCATCAATAGCATCAACCATGAAAAGGACTTCATATCCCTTCTTCTTCAGCTTCTCAAGGAATGGGGAGTTCTCAACAGCCTTCTTGCTCTCACCAGTAATGTAATAGATATCACTCTGACCTTCCTTCATTCTAGTGACATAGTCCTTGAGACTCGTCAATTCATCGCCACTCTTGGTGGAGTGGTATCGGAGCAGCTCAGCAAGCTTTGTCTTGTTAGTGGAGTCCTCATGGATACCCAACTTGAGATTCTTAGAGAATGACTCATAGAATTTGTTATAATCTTCCTTGTTCTCAGCAATCTCAAAGAAAAGCTCAATGCACTTCTTCACTAAGTTCTTGCGGATAACTTTGAGAATCTTGTTCTGCTGCAACATCTCTCTTGAAATGTTCAAAGGAAGATCCTCAGAATCAACAATACCCTTTACAAATCCAAGATACTCAGGAATTAGCTCTTCACAATTATCCATGATAAAGACTCGGCGGACATAGAGCTTAATGTTGTTGGGCTTCTTCCTTGTGTCAAAGAGATCAAAAGGAGCTCTCTTTGGAACAAAGAGAATGGCCTTGAATTCAAGTTGGCCCTCAACTGAGAAGTGCTTGACAGCCAAGTGTTCCTCCCAATCATTAGTAAGACTCTTGTAAAAAGCAGCATACTCTTCCTTAGTGATCTCTTCAGTCTTTCTCATCCAGATGGGCTTCTGCTTGTTAACCAAAGACCATTCATGAGACACCTCCTTGATCTTCTTCTTTTTCTTTAGTGATCTCTTCAGTCTTTCTCATCCAGATGGGCTTCTGCTTGTTAACCAAAGACCATTCATGAGACACCTCCTTGATCTTCTTCTTTTTCTTCTCTTCCTTCTCCTTCTCTTCATCAACCTCCTCAACCTTACCTTCCTCATCCTTCTTCTCTTCCTCATCTTCATCATCAGAAATTTCCTTCTCAGTAGTCTTTTCAATCCAGAGAGAAATCGGGTAGCTGATAAACTCAGAGTGCTTCTTGATCAGATCCTTGAGACGGCGCTCCTCAAGGTATTCAAGCTGGTCCTCCTTAAGGAAAAGGGTAATCTTTGTACCCCTCCCGAGATTCTCGCCAGAGGCATCTCTTGTAACAGTGAATGACCCACCAGCCTGTGACTCCCATACGTACTGCTCATCATCATTGTGCTTGGTTGTCACAATAACCTTCTCAGCAACCAAGTATGCTGAGTAGAAACCAACACCAAACTGTCCAATCATGCTCACATCAGCTCCAGCAGCCAATGCCTCCATAAACTCTTTAGTTCCAGACCTTGCGATGGTACCAAGATTGTTTACCAAATCTGTCATTAGCACCAAAATATAAAATTAATACGCAGGAAGTAATTAATGAAAGAACACAAGTCATCTAACAAAGTAGATAAATATGCCTTAGTGACACTTACCAGCCTTAGTCATACCAATCCCACTGTCAATGATAGACAATGTGTTGTTGGTTTTGTCAGGAATAATGTGAATAAAGAGCTCCGGTTGAGCATCAAGCTTGCTTTTGTCTGTCAAGCTCTCAAATCTAATTTTGTCCAGAGCCTAAAAGCCAGAAATGAAAAAAAAAAATAGAAGAATTAACATCAGAACATATATCCAAACACTTCTAAGACCAAAAAACAGAGACTAAAAAGAACCATGTTCAACTAGACCAAGTAATAATTGACATGTGTAAAAACCCCAGGCAACGAAGAACCATCCACAAATAGACTCTAATACTACAAAAATCTGACAAACTAAAACAAGTAATAATCATCCTATAGTTTCTTTAGAATCCTCATTCATTACTCAAAACCAACAGGCAACAAGAATTTTCTTTTAATGGAAATTTAAACAAAATCAAACCCCCAGACATTCAACAACTAAATCGAAATCGAGTTAGTACATAAACAATTCCTAAACCGTAAACATCGAAATAGGGTGAGTACATACACAATTTCCAAACCATAAACAAACAAGAATACCTCATGTCAAAGAAAATAAAAACAAAAAAATCAAAACATAAATAATCTACGCATAAACATAAAGAAAATGAACCCTAACATCAAAGTCATATATATACATATGTAGGAAAACAAATCAAAAAATATCTATCGAACACCTAAACCAGAGATAGAGACATGCTCGCATATTTACAAATATAGGAAAACAAAATAATAATATCTACCGAATACCTAAGCAAGAAATGTAGAGATGCTTCCTACACCGAAATAATAGGAAATTATAGAAAGAAAAACTCACATCGGAGGCATTGCTGATAAGCTCTCGAAGAAAGATCTCTTTGTTGCTGTAGAAGGTGTTGATGATCAAGCTCAGCAACTGGTTGATCTCTGCTTGGAAAGCAAACGTCTCTGTCTCCGCCATTGTTGGATTACTGTATTCTCTAGTATAGATCTAAATATAAAAGACTTTTCAAAAAACGAAGACGAAGACTCAAAAAGAGAGAGGCAATGGGAGTGAGGATGCCCGATTGGTGAAATGGAGGTTATATAGAGGGCTTTGCTAGGGTTTCTAGATCCTTCCATTTCCTTTTATTTTTATTCCGTTTTTATTTTTATTTTTTTTTTAAAAGAATAAAATTCGAAACTTGTATCATGTACTTTGAGCTGAGTTTTGATTGGAACACCCAGAGTAGGATGGTGGGGGTTGGGTTGGGCTGGGCATTAGGAAAAGACACGTGGATGTGAAAACGAGAAGATAGGTCAAAGACGTTGTTGGGCCCTTTTTTAGGGGGCCTTTGGTTATCATATCGAATGCTCCTTTTTTTATTTTTTATTTTTTTTCTGGGTCTCTTACTTCCTCACTCGAAAAATATAAGTAGTTATAATTATTTTATCTCAAAATATATATAATTATTTTTATAAATTATCCTAACTTGTGAGATGAATTTTTCAATTTTATTATAATTTAAAGAAATTAATTATTTTTTTAATTCTCATATAAAAATTTTAAATTATTATTTATTATTTTATCAAAATATAAGAGGTTTTGAGTTTTTAATTGAGTAATAAATAATTTTTTTAAATTTTACTTTTACTTATATTGAATATAATAATTATTTTCACAAATTACACTAGATTTTGAATTCTTTGATTTTATTATAATCTAGAAATAAATTTCAATTTGGTCCCTGAATTTATTTAGAATGATCAAAAAAGCTATATTTGACTTTTTGAGTCAATTTAGCCCTTGAATTTGTGTAAAATGATTAAAAAAATCTGATTTTATTTTTAACGTAATTTAACCCCTGAACTTATTTAAAATGATTAAAAAAATCATATTTGATATTTTGAGTCAATTTAACTTCTAATTTTTCACTATACTTACAATGTGAAGTCATTATATAGACATTTATTAAAATTGTAATTATATCGAGCTGACTAATTCATTGAAAAATTAATTAATTATAAAATATATAAAAACATTTATTAAAATTGTAATTATTCGAGCTGACTGAATCTCAAATGAAAAACTTTAATTAATATATAAAATAATATAAAAATAAATATATGAAGTATATTGTATCTCTTTTTACTTTTGATTGGATTAGTTTATGGTTTACTATAAATATGTATTTAATTGATATTTTAAATAACCTCCTTACTGGGTTATTGCTTAATGAGATCTATACATTTTCATGTTTGATAAATTAAGTTATAGCGATGTTTTAGAAATTTTTTATATTACAAGAAATGATATTTTTATGATTTTAAATTATATTCATAGTGTTTAAATTTATATTCATAAGTGTTGAAAATGTTTAATCTGAATATTCTTAGTGTAAGACAAAAATTGATAAAAAGTTAATTATGTTAAATTAAATCAATTATTAATTTATAAAAATTAAAATAAGTTCAAGGGTTAAATTGGATCATAAAGCAAAATTAGATCTTTTAATCATTTTTTACAAATTCAAGAGATAATTAGCCAAAAAAGTCAAATATGACATTTTTTATCCCACTAATCAAGTTCATGTATTAGACCTTTATTTATATAATTTAAGGGAATTAATTGGTTCATTTAACTCTCGAATAAAAACCTTTAAATGGTTTATGTTTTGAGATGAATAGGGTAAGAATTAAGAGCATACTTCATTTAAATAAATTGAATTCCATCTTTTTAGTTTATTCATTTTGATTTTTAACACATTTATTTGATTTTGGATTTTATAAAAAAAAATCAAAATCTTTTTATTCAATTTGATTTCTTCTAATCTAAAAACTAAGCTCAAAGTAAAAAAAAAAAAAAAAACTAAAGAACAAAAAAAAAAAAAACTAAAGAACAATTTAATCAATTTGATTCAATTGAACTTTTTACAAATCGCAATATAATCTAATCAATTTAATTTTTTACAAACGTAACTAACCTAATCATAGTTTTTCGTTTTTATGTTTTTTCTTTCTAGCGACGGAGAAGATTAAATTTTTAGTGTTCGTATTTAAATCTTTGGAGAAATAGATACTTATTCTTGAATATGTGGCTTCACAAAATATTTTTCCAAGGACAAAATAAAATATTATACGATATATTTATTATATAGTTTTCGAATAATATCTATACTTAAATTAATATATACTAGAATGAAATGGAAAAAAAAAAAAAAACCATCTGGTTGGTTAAAGAAGAGAAAAAAAAAAAGTAAAACAATTTGAAAAAAAATAAAAATCTATATATCTATATTAATATATATAATATATAGTATATAGATATACTAAATAATGATATTATAACTTAGTATATTATATTTAGCTTTTGATACGAGCATTTGCACATTATCATGTTCATCTTGTACTCATAATATATACACATTTTATTTTTTGTGATATTACGTATTGATCATTTACATCGTTTAAAAGCTTTCTGTACATATTAAAATATAATTTCTACTTTTCTATGACTTAAATATCATATCTAATTGCTATATTTATCTATATAAGTATTACAAATAGCGAATAACAGTGCTTTTATTTTATATAATATTAAAGCATAAGTTTTTATTTAGATTAAAATAAGAACAATTACTTAATTTGTATTGGATTTTATGGTACAAACTACTTGTAATGTTACATCTTATGTACTAAATTTATTTTTTTATAATGAAAATGGTCTCAAAATAAATATCAACTCTATCCCTAAACCTAATCATTTGGTCCTTAATTTATAAATGTAGATTCTTAAAACTCCAATAGGTACCCAAAAAGAAAATCAAATCATCACTCAATTTTCAACCCATGCCCTCGACCCAAATCAATATCTATATACAAATATAATGAAAAATAATAATAAATTATTTTTTACTGCAAGGTAAAAAAAAAAAAGAAATAAGAAGATGATCTAAATTAATAATGGCAATCACTTTGGTTATAATGACGGTATTACTTACCTAGTACATTAGAGAAATAAATATATGCACATGTATACAAATTTTTGAAACTTTAAATAGTGACCCAAACAGAAATATATAATTCTTTTTTTTTCTAGATTTATAAACAATATTTTCTTTCAAGTCAAACAAATTTAAAATATAAGAGAAAAATATTAAGAAAATTAAAAATGCTTACTAAATTAATTCAATGATAGTAGTTAAATATTAATTCAATAATGAAAAAAAATAAAAAATAAAAAACAAAAAATTATTATTAAGAATATTTAACATACAAGAAACAAATTATATTAAAAAATTATCAATTTGAATTTCAAAAATTAACCCATTCTTCAATTGAAAAGACCATAATTGAAATTTGACGTTGATGGACAAAAAAAAAAAAAAAAAAAAAAAAAAAAAAAAAAGGATTAAGCCAAGTCAATAATTCAAATTATAACGTAATCTCATGCTAGATCCTAATATTGATCAGTTTAATACAAGATTAGCTTTATAAGTTACGTGTTGCTGTTTTAATTGTTAAGTTGTAAACTCTTAAAATTATAAATAGTTAATTTAATCTACTTGGAAACTATGCTCATCAAAGGAACATTCCATCCTCTCTTTAAATAACCCATCACCAGTTTTACCCGATAAATACATCATCATTCAAAAAATATAATACCTAACAAAAATGAATAGATATCTCTTTATTACTTTTTCATCTTTCTCCTTACGAAACATACAATATTTTTTCAATATGTTTATACAAAATAACAATTAACAATATCTATTTTACCACATATATTCAATCTCAAAAAGTTTACTCAAATGCCCTTGTCATAAAAATAAAATATAAAAATTTTCAAATGCCTTGTTATCATATATATTTGTTGAAAAATATATTAAAAATATAATTTTAAAATTCTTAATTATCTATATGCTCATTAATAAAAAAAATTACATAAAAGAAATGTTCTATCCTCCCCAAATAAACCCCACATTTTTCCCACAATCACACACAAAAAAATATATATTTTTATTTTTTATCTCTCTTCTAAATAAAATGTTATGTAAATTCTATTTGAAAATTTATTTTTTTAAATCCTTTCAAAATAAACCCTTAATTTTTTCTGCAATCAAAAAAAAAAAAAAAAAAGTTTTTCTTTTTTATCTCTTCTCCTAAATAAAATTTCTATGTAAGTTTTTGTTTGAAAATTTATGGCTTTAAAAATATATCAAAATCAAATTTATATAAACATAAAGAAAAAAATTACCTTTTTATTCCCTTCTAAATAAAATATTTTAAATAATAGATTAATCAAATTCTTAATTATCTTATATGTATTTATTAAAAAATAATTTTTATAAAATTATATTCACCAACTAATTTAAAATGTAATTAGATATAATTTAGCTAATGGACTAAAGCCTATTTCTAGGAATATTTCAAATTTCTCATTTAGGGCGGATTTTCGGAAAATTTCATATTTATCTCCTCCATATTTCACATTTATATATAGTACATGGAATAGATAGATAGTGCATAAATAGATTAGTATTATTATTTTTTTTAATATAATTTTACAATTCATAACTTATATTACTTTTCCTAATTTTTTGATAGTAGATTTCATTTGATTTATATGATTATTATCCTGTTGACTTTTGTGTTGGTATATGCATGTTTTCGTTATAGCTTATTCGTTATTTTCATTTGTATTTCTTAATTTTTGTATATCTTTAATCTTCTTGTTAATTAATCATTTTTTTCTAATTTAAGTGTTTAATGGAATGATTAAGCTAAGCCATAGCTAGGGTCCTAGAGTTACTATTTAAGGTTAAAGATTTTGACCAAACGTTAATCAAATCAAAATTAACACTTAAAATTCATAGTTTTTACAAACATGTTTTTTTTATATAATATATAATTTATAAAGATTTGTATGTTCAACATATTTATTTTCTCGAAATTTTAAAAACCTTGAATGTTTAAATGGAAAAGTAATTAACTTATTTTCAAAATAAAATTATAAAAATACATAGATAATTGAATTAGAATTATAATAATGGTATTCTTAAAAATCAACACTAATATTATTTTCCTTTA